ATGATGGCTGAAATTAAATGGGACAGTGAAGGTCACATAGTCTTCACCACACCATTGGTATAGGACCAGTGGTGGGTTTCAAAAATTTTTGGAACCTCTTCTGTAGGTGTGGCCTGCTTTTCGGGTCCACTGGTGGAACCTCTTCTAACCGGTTCGATAGATTTGACGAACCGGTTCTACCGAATAGGTGCGAATTGGTAGGAACCCACCTCTGGTATAATATGTAGTTAAGGTTTTTCCTATTAACCACAATGAAGCCCATGACCTGGGTTTAGACTGCAGAAAGCCAAACCACAAACTGATTTAGTGTGTTATACAAATCTGTGAAAATTCACCAATTCCTGTATATCTCAGATTCCATTTGTATGGCAGATATGGCAGATATATCTCATTTTAGCTACTAATAGTCATATTTTCTAGTCCTGAGGCGCACTGCTATAAAATGTTTGTCTACAATTAATGTGGATTGTGTGCATATGTTTGTTTTTCTTTTGTCGTGTTCTCATCATATACTAAATATTTTTTTTTCAGTTTGAAGTGCATAATAACCAGTGACACAGTAGGTTTAAATGCTATTTAAATTCTAGATCCAGAAGAACTGTGCTCTTTTAAAGTATTTTTCTCTTCCCCCGTAAACTTATAGGAGGGGGTCGAGTGAAAATCGAAAGTGTGAGACTCGATTTTAAAGAAAAGGCTCACGCCAAAGTTGGCTCACTTGACAATGCTCATCATGTGCCTGGAGGAGGTAATATCAAGGTAAGACATCAAGGGTTATAAACTTGAAAGCTTGTCAATATGTTAATTTCAGGGTTATCTATTCTTTTCTTTAATATTGTGGAGTTGTTTAATATTCTGGAGTTCTTCATAGTCCTATAGGTAAAAATGGCAATGATTTACATAGAGATAGAAGTTCCTACTACCTCATGATGTCCCACATTAGGCTTGGGTTAATTGCTTAGCTCTTCCTTCAGAGGAGACTTGAAAAAGCAGGGAGATTCCCAAGGGTGAAAAGTCCCACCTTATGCCATATCCAAGTTCCAGATATTTCCTGCCTCCTCTCTGAAGTCAAAGTTTTACCTGGTGGCCACTGGTTTATGTACAAAATCTTTCAGGTTTCACCTTCACTGCATGTTTGATTTAGTTTCAGCCAACATTCAACAAAAGAAACTCCCGACTCTTTAGGTTAACTAAGAATACCTTTATTGAAAAATCCATCTAGGCACAGTAGAAGCAAAGTCAGTTCTGGGATTTTTCCTGGGAAAACATACATAGCTGTTCTGACCCCCCTCGTCCACCACCAACATACTCCGAGCCAAAGATAAGTTACGGCATTTAATTAACAGACAGGCAGGTCCTTGGCAGCAAACCGGCACAGACAAGCTTGGGCAGCAATCCAGCA